ATCATGAAGTCATTTAATTGGTTAATGTCCATACAGATGTTAACACAAATGCATATCACTGCTTTACCTCTTCACAGCAATTATTGTCCCTGCAACTTTGTTTCACCTTCTAAACATTTAATTATTATTATTTTGTGCACCATTAGATACTTTCCAGTGAAACTTTCAGGGAAAAAAAAATCATTGAATGTACAACTGGTTTACATTTGGAGTCAAGCCACCACACTTTAGCCAAAACAAAAATGGCAACATTTGCAGATATGAGCTAAAATTAAACATGTTAAATAATGTGGTTTGTAGAAGATAAAAGCAGTAAAATATGCAATTTGTGAACATATAGTCTGTTCAAAGTCAGTCAAATCTGTAAAAAATATGTAAAAATACGTATTTCCCAATGTGAAGTTCAATCTATGCAAATTTGCACTACAATCTGTAGACAACATTTCAGTAACTTACTGTATTTATTACAGAAAACAAAATAATCTCTAACTGAGAGCATCTCTGCCGATGCCAGTCAAGTCTCCTAAAATAGATTCCCAACCATGGGCAGCCATATTTCACACCCTTTTTGTCTCATCCTGGTTTTAAATTAACACCAAATATCACACATTCTTCAAGGTTTGCAGTTTCTGATTCAAATAYTGTAGTAGCAGGCCTCCTCACTGCTGTCCACAGCAAGCCTGTCAGCTCAGCACAGGACAGATRTGCACAAGATATCTCCTCCCAGATYAAACTGGAGAAATAAAGACCATGGCTGTTTTTTTCCTGATTGTCTTAATCACCTCTGTGTGGGCACTTTGAGTCAAGCTTCTTATCTGATTGTGCTGTTAGTGACTGTGACAAAAAAACTATTCAGGCCTACGTGAGACCACTCGTCAGGAAGAGGTGAAACATTCGAGTGTGAAGTCTCAGCTTAGGAAAAAACTGATGAGGAGGATTATGATGTGGCCAAAGTGTAGAGGAAGGTTTACTTTTTAATATTACTCTGAATTATTCACAGCAGAAATCTCAAAGTAAGGGGTAAACCCTGACAAGCTTTTATTTTAACAATGGCAAAATAATAAATTTATCACTTTATCAACGTATTGATTACATTTGACACTATAACATTCATGGTCTTTAAATTAAAATATAATACAACTCAACTTTTTTTTAATAAATGACCCCTATTATTTGCATTTTGATCATCTAAAATGATTGTTCTCTAAATCTGACAGCCCAAAAGTTAAAAAAATATATTTTTACTAAAGAGTCTGTCAAAAACACACTAATGAGTATATTTTCACTTCATATTAAAGATAAACCATTAAAATTAAATACTTGCTTTGAACATACACTCAAATTAAGTACAAATCATGYATTTACACAGTATCCCTTGTGTTCAAAGCTGTGATCAAACAGTTTTATTTTAGTCAGTTTAAAAAAATGAACCTGATTTTTAATAATTAAAGTCAAACATCTATGATTTCAGTCCTTCTGACCTCGTCTCTGTGAAGAACAGTGGGCAAATGTCTCTTGTAGAAATGAATCCAGTTTTAAAGCCCCCTGAAACCTTACACCCACCAGGACCCGTGTCAGTCCTGTTTGATCCAGTCCCACTCAGACAGATGAGATAAGTGGGTAACACACTGTTCCTTTCATTGCGGAAGGAAAAAAAAATCAGCTCCTGGAGACATTTTAGCAACAAATACGACTCCACATTAAGCATCACCGATGTCTCTGCACCTGCCCACAGGTGGAGAAACTAGACCCCCCACTATCAAGTGTCACTGGAGCCCCCATTCAATTCTCCCACCTGCCTGCTGGTGCTCAACCACCTGCCCGTTCTGTCAGAGACCCGTTGTGTTGGACATGTAAAGGATGATCAGAAAAAAAGTGAAAAGGGAGGTAAAGGGGGAGAAGGGACAGTTGACCTTTAATCTTTAACAACAAAAAGGTTTTTTAAATTGAGGAGGAGCCCCCCCCCCCCCTCCCCGTCAGCAGGGTAAAAAGGAGACTTTTTTGGCTTGATTTTGATCAGGCAGCCTAAAACAGCCAATCAGCAGGGCTTATTAGATCTTCTGGCTCATTCCGACATATTAATCATCACCGCTCTCGGCAACCGCTGAGTTTAATGAAGCTACTTATTTGAAAAAAAGAAAAGATACACATTTAAGAGTCACACTTAAAAAAAAAACAACACACTGAAACATTAACAGACACTCATYGGAGACACTTGTGACTAATGCAGCTCTAATTAAAAAATATGAAACAGAAGGTGATTGAAGCAATCGGGCTGGTAAATGAGGACACGTCATGCCAGACTGAAGGTCTCAAAACTCTGTTCACAACATATTGTGGGTATTTTCTGCTGCTGAGATGGGTTGGTCTGAAGCCAGGAACTGCATTAAATAATCCACAGCAACAGAACAAAATCTTTTGACTAATTACATGGGATTATTCTAATATGAAGATAAATGTTAAATTGCAGAGACATGTTGGGCTACAGGCCCAGATTTGAATCCATATGGAGAGGAACACAGTGCACAAAGACAAATTTAGTATCTGCAGCAGTTATAATGTCATGAGTTTAATCCTGCTGACCTAGGATCAAAATTACCCACCTGGGCTATTTTAACCAAAGGGCAGCAGGAAACACATAATAATGCAACTAAAATGCATTATTGTCCACCATTGATAGAGAAGACAAAGCATCTTATAGAATTGATTTTAAGATTTTATTGTTAGTTTTTAAAGTTTTGAATGGCCTAGCTCCAACCTATCTTCAAGATCTTTTGCACGTTCTTTCGTTGAGGTCAAACAACCAGATGCTTCTGGATGTCCCAAGATCCAGATTTAGGAGTAGAGGTGATCGTGCTTTCGCTGTTGCTGCTCCCAACCTATGCAACAACTTTCATATTACATCTGCTCATAGCTTGGAAAACTTCAAAGTGCTTCTTAAGACTCACTTTTATTCAATGACGTTTGATTAAAGTAAGGCCTGGCATTGTAATTTATTAGTTTTTACCATTGTTGGTTGTAATTTATTATGTATTTTCAGCAGTTTTTGTGGTTTTGTGATGTTTGTGGATTGCTGTTGAGCACTTTGGTGCAGCTTTTAGCTGTTTTTAAAAGCGCTTTAGAAATAAAATTGACATTAACAGTGAGCATTGATGTTCTCCCTCATGTCTGTGTGTGTTCGGCTGTGTTGTTAGCAAATTATCTCCTGGATGAATTTTAGGGGATTTCTTCCACAGTAGTGATTTTAACAACCACAAAAATATCTTAATTTCAGAAAATTTCATAGAAAGGTTTATATTCAACACATATGCTGAGTGCTGCCATTGCTTACTGTAATCAACTCCATCTGTGAGCAAAATATCTCAATAACTAACAAACAAATTCTAACAACTACAACTCAAAAGTGAATATCTCTACTATTTTTACAGACACTGAGGTACAGTTGGATGTGGTGGCAGCTGAGCATCATCCCCAATATATAAATGCAACACAATGTGCAATGCTTTTACCTCTAAAGTCAACCCTCTTTGTCTGTTAGCAAAATATCTCATGAACCTTTAAGAAAATAATTATTGTTTGTACCTCYATGGGTTTMGAGTAATTTAAACTCAAAKCATTTAACTTTTCTAYTAAGATMAAATTGAGTGTGGTRGTAGCTGTGAGTCATTCACAGCACATRCTTTGAGTGCTAGCATATCATGCAAGATTTTGCAGTGTTGCATAAAACTGTGCAAAAACGTTATTTTWAAGGTTTGACCAAAACAACTATATTTTTTGTCTTTTCTCAACACAAGATGATCTCAGTTTAAAACTGAATGAAAGGCAACAGGTGACAGGAGATCCCTGAAGGAATGTTAGAGCTTAAATTGAAAGTATGTGATTACAAGACGTCAAGAAAACAAACATGCTTTCTAGTCATGAAAAATGACCCAGATTATTTWAAATTTTTAACATTAACAAACACCCTTTTATCTGTTTTGATGTGTTTTTGTGTTAGAAGCTTAAAAAAGATAAATTAGGGAAAAACGAGTTAGAGGGAGCTGTCATTTTAGTTAGTCTTCTTCATGGAAAGCGAGCAAAATCAAAGTGACAGTAAAATTGATTTTCTCCCGCTTTGCTTCTGATGCATGTGAACAAAAAGATTGACAGTTTCATCAGCTGGACTTTTTTTTTCATTGTAAACACCAGCCAAGGCAACAGAGATGAGAAAGGAAGGAAGAATGAGGGGTGGGGTTGGGGACCAAAAAGGAGAAGTGACTGAGGGGGGAAAAAGGAAGAGAAGGAGAGAGAAGGGGGGGATGAATATTAATTATGAGGAGAGTTAAATAAATAAGAGGAAGCAGTGAAAGGAGGAAAGAAGAAAACAAGAGAGCGGCTGAAGAAGGGATTTTAAAAGAACAGAGGAGGAAAACGTGGTGATGAAAGCAAAATAAGAAGGCAAAAAATGATGGAGAAAAGGGAAGATGAGGAGAAAGAAAGAAAATGATGGATTAAATTAAAAGTGGAGAGAAGAGGCCACACCTCACTCCTCACCAGATTCTCCAACACTTTCTGCCTCGAGCTGAGCTGCAGTATGTGAAACCCAGATACTGTATCTGAGCCCCCCACAGACCAGTCCTGCAGATCCCACCTGGTGTAAACTAGTAAAAACCAAGGGGCTGCMTGCAGGTTTAGCCCAGTGATGAAAAAAAAAAAAAGAAAAAAACACAGTGCATGTGTGAGACAGAGAGAGTGAGCATGTCTGACTAGTGCATTATGCAAATATGAGTCAAATGTTTCACCCCGGCATGCACAAGGTAAGAATTAGGCGCGGCTGGAAGACAGGCGCACGAGCTGCAGACTRCCCTTCTACATAAATAAATCAGAGCACTTCTGATTTATTAGCATTTCTAACCCAGAAGAGGTGTAGAGTACCCCCACCCCCCTGCTGCTGATTTCAGACACATACCAGAAGCAGAGGGGGAAAAAAAAAAAAAAAAAAAAAAAGGAACGTCACTTACTTGCAAATCTCTCCCACGTGAGCTCGCTTTGTGTCCTCCGGTGCTGAGCGGCAAAAAAATAAAAATAAATAAAAATGCCAAAAATAATTRGAAAACACTGTTTAAGGCGGTGAAATCCAGCATTAAAGGGAGCAGCCGGCGGCCGAGAAACAAGCTAACCGCCGAGCTGCGAACCACTCGCCGACTGACTGAGCGCGAGCGGAGTTGTCTCTTCAGCACCAGACCACTTTGAACAGCTCCCGCTGACGTCACTGCCTAGATACGAGGCCACGCCCACCCTCCCCTTAGCTACCACTGACGCCACGCCCACTTCAAGAAGGAGGGGAAGGAGCGTCTGGGTCCACGTCTCAACCTGCGGTTAAAAAAAAAGAAAGAAAAAGAAGCATTTTTAATTTTGTTTGTTTGAAGATGAATCTAATACTTTATAACATGTTATA